AGCCTGGTGGCCCCACAAGGGGGCCGGCGGATTATCGATCCCGCTTTTTGGGACAATACGGGACACCTCGGGGCACCACATCGATCTCAGTATCGATCTCACGATCGATCTCACTCAACGGGACACCACGGGACACCGCGGGACACCGCGAGCCACGGCTGGACGGACGGACGGACGGACGGACGGGGGAGAATCATTTGTCTTGACTGCGCCCTATCAACGGCGGACATCACGGGACACCTCGAAGGCCACCGCCGGACGGACGGCGGAGGAGAAACATTTGTTTTGTCTTCGCCCTAGCAGGGGCGGACAGCACGGGGCACCACGGGACACCTCGGGCCACCGCCGGACGGACAGACGGAAGAAATACATTTGTCTTGACTTCGCCTTAGCAAGGGCGGGTTCATTCCTCTCGCGCGCTCACGCAGCTTCGCCTCTCCCGCACGTCCGACCCGAACGAAACGAAACGATTTCCTGGTTTGGGGTCTCCGTGAGATATATATATATATATATATATATATATGGTGATACGCAGACATATCCCTGGGATGCACTTATCGCCCCCCCCTTTCGGCGAAACTATATTGCTTTTGCGCCCCACGGAAGTGATATCCTGCCCATGGACCCCTTCGTGCGGGATTCCACCAGCATCTGAATATCTGTTCTTCTATGTGAGTTTGTTCGATGGCGTTCTAAAGTATTCTTTGTTTGACTCAGGGCTGTCTCAGGGATTTGGACTGTCGACGGGGGCGTTTCCCTCGGAAGGGGCCTTCTTGTGGTCCCTTCTTGTGCTCCTCTTACCCTCCCCGCCCACCGTCCCCGCTAATCGCTCTAATAAATTAATTCGTCGGTCTGCTAAGCATAATTTTTTGGCCGTTCCGCCTCCCCCGCGAGAAATTCCAAATTAGTGTGTGAGTGTGCGTGTGTGCGCTCATGCTCACTCGGGGGATTCACACTTGGTCGTCATACATATAAATATCCATATATATATGTTATGTCTATACACATGCGTTGGGTTGAGTATACACGTTTGTAATAGAAGCATATGTGTATGGATGAATGTATATAGATACGTATGGTCATGCAGTTTATAATTACGAACATCATCATGCATACATTCACACACATGCACATCCATATAGTTATACCTGTATACACATACATTGGTGTGTATGTACGGTATGCTGTGATGCGAGTTGGCCGAAGGCAGTCAGGCAGTATGGGGGAGAGGGAAGTCTCTCTTCACACATATCGTATGTTTGGACGCATGCATCAGATGAGAATATAGACAGGGATCGAGAGAGAGAGAGAGAGACAGAGAGGCAGAGAGACAGAGAGAGAGAGAGAGACAACACGAGATAGATCGGTGCCAGAGTCAGAGGCGAAGAGAGAAGGAGCCTCTTCAGGCCTCGCTTTTGGCAGGTCGCCACTCCCACCTGATGCGCGCCCTCGCCGAGCCTCGCCGCGTCCCTCCTCGCCTCTCCCCCTCCTCCTCGCCATCCTGGCCCGAGCTTCCGACCAGGACCAGCGGCCTGCCTCGGGGCAGCTGCAACGCCGAAGCGGCAGCTGAGATCTGGCGCCCGTCCCCCCCCCTTCCTCCCATCCGTTCCCCCCTCTCTCTCTCCCTCTCCCTCTCCCTCCCTCGCTCCTTCTCTCCTTCCTCCTCTCCCTCTCCCTCCCTGTCCCTCCCTCTCCCTCCCTCTGTCCCTCCCTCTCCCTCCCCCCCTCTCTCCCTCCGTCCCTCTGTCCCTCCCCTCTCTCCCCCCGCACTCCTCCGATCCGCTCCCTCCCTGCTTCCCCCCCTCTACCTTCCTCCATCCGCCGCCCCGTCCCTCCCCCCCTCTCCGCTCCCTCCGCCCCTCCCCGGTATCTGCGAAATCCGAGGTCTGCTCCTCCCCTCTCCTCCTCTCCCACTCCTCCCTTCTCTCCTCTTCCTCTTCCTCTCCTCCGCCTTCCCCTCCCCTTCCCCTCCCCCTCCCCTCCCCTTCCCCTTCCCCTCCTCTTCCCCTCCGTCTTTCTCTCTTCCCCCTCGCCCGCATCCCTCCCCACGGGGTTGGCGGATCTCAACCATTACTGAGGTGTTAGTTGCCCTTCCTGCTGAGTTCCCGAGGGCGGTTTCGATGGCGGCGGCCGGCTGCGGCGACGGACTCGCCGATGTGGCCAAGGCCGACGCTGCGCCCGAGGTATCCCCAGGGGTCAGACTTTGCTCAGCTGATTCTTAGGCTTACGCCACACCGCCGACCCCTTGTTTATGCCAATCTGGGTTATGGGTTATGGGTTATGGGTTAGAAAACGGCTCTGGGTTATGGGTTCTGGGTTATGGGTTAGAGGCGTCTTGTATGTGTAGCGGGATCTCGCGGCACGCCTCTCGGGGGCCTATGGCAGGCAGTTTGGAACCACTTGGGGGCCCAGGTGGAGGAAAAGGAGGAGGAGGAGAAGGGGGACACGGAGAAACGGCTCTGGGTTATGGGTTATGGGTGAGAGGCTTCTTGTATGTGTA